AATATGTGCAATCAACTACTAGTACAAGTTATTTGAGTTATTTTATATTTATAAAATTTATGTGATGGAACAAAACTTGATTTGTAGAAAGGAGTTTAATGTATATATCAACCTCATCTACAATATTTATTACTTCTTTTCCGTTAATTAAATTAGAATTGTTAGTTAAATATCTTATATTGTTTTATTATTATTGTTGTTGTGGTGGTTATTATTGCTATTATATTATTATTATTGTTACTACTACTAATATTATTTTATTTTTTATTTTTTAATAGCGGTTCCTTAACGGTTCCATGCACATATTTTTTATAGGAACCGAGAACCGAACCGTTATAACCCGCTTCGGTTCGGTTCCTACAAATGAGGCATTAATTGTTAACGGTTCGGTTCCTAGATGTTGTTAACGGTTCGGTTCCAATCGGTTCTACGGTTCCCGGTTCCAAAATCCCACCCCTAACATATTGTACCAATTCAATAACCACTGGTTCAATTTAAACTTATAAAACACATTTATTTTCAATTTTTTTTATTGTCTTCTCGATTGTATTATGAGCTAAATTATTTTGTAACTAAGCTAGATTTGATGAGGAACATGCTCAAAAAGTTTCATTAAAAAGCCACGGGAAACTGCCCTAAACGGTGGAATCATCCTCTAGGAATGATCCCTAAACTAAGTTGGACAAGATCATTTTTCTCTCTCTAAATTGCTTCTTATGTGAAAAATAAGAACTAATCTGAGCAATGGATATGAAAAAATGGATAGAAGAGATCAAATTTTAAGTGAAAAATGTGAAGAGGTTTTGGTAATTATGAAGAACTTTTAATAAAAATATTAAATAAAAAGTGTATTAGAATATGCAAAAAAATTATTTGCATGATTGACCTTTTATTCATTTACTATCCACTTTGTACAATAAATTTGCACATTATTTGACTCTGTGGCTTGTGATTGAAGTTCATCTCATCAATCCATTTAGGAATTGGATATATTCGTGGACAAGATCATTTAGAGAATCATCCCAATTATTTGACTCTGTGTCTTGTGATTGAAGTTCATCTAATCCATCCATTTAGAATTTGGATATATTCATGGACAAGATCATTTCTCTCTCTAAAGTGCTTGTTAGGGCAGTTAGGAATGATCATGTTGTGGAATCTACTTACCAGGTGTTTTAGAGTTACCGGTGAAAAATTGGACAAGATCATTCCAAGACATTTTGTGGAATCATCCTTAAACTATGTTGGATAAGATCATTTCTCTCTCTCTCTAAAGTGCTTCTTAGGTGAAAAATAAGAACTAATCTGAGCAATAGATCAAATTTCAAGTGAAAAATGTGAAGATGTTTTGATAATTATGAAGAACTTTTAATAAAAATATTAAACGAAAAGTGTATTAGAATATGCAAAAAAATTACATGTAGAGCACAAAAGTGCATAATAGTACACCATAAAATGTGCACACATTCTAAAAATGTGCACTCATTTACTATCCACTTTGTACAATAAATTTACACATTATTTGACTTCATGTCTTGAGATTGAAGTTCATGTGTAAATTACTTTTTACTTGAACCGAACCACACATTTATATGGTTTAATTTCCGCTTACATTTTAAAATATGTAAAACTGCACACATTAGAACAATTGTTTTATTTTACCTATTTGTCATGTACTATCGATGCTAAAATCCTCACCAATGTTCATACCGTTTCAAGCCGCTAGGGAAAAACAAATTGGGGGCACGATCTAATGAAATGAAAACTCATTTAATAATATTGAAATGGACTGAATGATTTTTGGAGGTAAGAAGCGGTCTCTCCCTCACGTAGGGTTTCTATCCGCCGCCTTTCGTGCGAGAAGCATACGATCGGCAAACATGGCGGCGTTTTTGCAGGGAAACAGACGAGGTCGAGGCGGAGTCCATCCACAGCCAGAGGACGTTTTTCAGGAGGACGAAGGGGACTAGTTGAAGTCAGCCGGTGCTGGGAGCGTAGAGTCCTTGATCGGCCAGTACGTCGGCATGGGGTTGGGGCATTCGGAGGAAGAATTGGTGCTAGATGACGAGGATGAGGCGGAGAAAGACCCTGGGGCAGCGAGCAAAGCGGTGGAAATTTTCCCCGTCGTTGGCACCATCCTCACGGATAAAGTGATAAAGTTTCAATTCTTTCGCGATCGGATGGCGTCTCTGTGGTGCCCGGGTAAGGGTGTTCTGATTCAAGAAATCGGGGAGAAGAGGTACCTGTTTACTTTTTATCATTCAATTGATAGGAATCGTGTGTTGAATGATGGACCTTGGCTATATGACCAGAACTTGTTAGTTTTAAAAGCTATTGAGCAGGGCGATATGCCCCTGAAGGTTCCTCTTGATACAGTTGATTTCTGGGTACAAGTACATAATATACCTTATGGATATTCTAATCTGGGAAATGCTCGTAAAATTGGAAACTATTTGGGTAAATTTATTTCCTGGGATGATAACCAGTTTGATGAGAAATGGGAGGCCTATATGAGGGTTAGGGTCAAGCTAGAGGTGAGGAATCCCTTAAAGGTGGGTATAAATCTGAAAAAAGGAAAAGGGGAAGGGAAGTGGGTGGACATCAGATATGAGAAAAATTCCGAGTTTTTGCTTTGCTTGTGGTGTTATAGGACATGCTGAAAAATTTTGTCCTTTATTGTATGAGAAAAGAGAGAATGAGGTTGTGAGACCTTTTGGGCCTTGGCTTCGGGCAGGAGCAGGGCGAACTCGCCCTTCCATGGGAAGTAAGTGGCTGGTTAACGACGGAGGGGCAGGAAGGGGTCTTGGGGGGTTGCATACGTATCCCAATGATAAGCAGGAACAGGGGCAGAATTCTATGCAGAACAAGATTCAGGAGAAAGGGGAAGGGTCGAAGCCTGAGGAAGCAAGGATTATTGGCAGTGGAACGGGAGAACAGAAGAGGAGGAGGACCTGGGATGCACAGGACCAGGAGCAGGAGCAACCAGAAGAGGATGTCATGGCTCTCGACGGCACAAAAAACAGGGAAGAGGCAGGCTGGGATTCTTTGACCCGCCAAAACATGTGAAGATTTGGGGCTATTGGAGTTATGAAGTTTTTCTAAATTTTAGACTGGTTTTTCTTTATGTTGGTTTTTGCTTTGGTCATCGAATACTCTTGTTTGTTGTTATCTTTATTTCGGTCAAGACTCTTGAACATAGGACAGGTGATAGAGAGCTGGGTTTACAAGTCATTGGCTCAAGTAAGCCCAATTCAGGATCAGCGAATTTGGTTGCTTCTTATGAGGTGGCATGTTCTAAGTCTGGTTCACGGGCAGACGGTAGGCATTTGGCTCTTTGTCGGTTTGTATCCTGCTTGCGTTTGATCTTATTAATATAAGTCATATTCTTCCAAAAAAAAATATTGAAATGGACTGAATTGACTTGATTTTTGCAGTAATAAACCAAAACTAAGGTTACCAAATAGTCTCCTAAACTCATTAAACAATTCATACCTGATCAATCATGTAGAAATAATATTTTATAAAAAATAATTATCTTATGTTAAGTTGGTGAAAATACGACTATTTAAGTTTGAAGCTGAAAACAAGTTGCAAACAAATCTAAGTTTCAGTTCAAATTCTAGATTCAATGAGTCGATGGTAAAGTGCAGGGACGGATCCAGAATTCTGAGTCAAGGGGGGCGAAATTTTTCGTTAGTGTAGGGGGTGAATTTTTTTTGTCAGTGTAGCGGGGTGAATTTTTTTCCCCTAGTGTAGCGGGGCGAAATATTTTCGCTACTGTGGGGCTATGCGGCTATTTTTATTCAAAAAATGACATTAATACATGCACATCCCGAACTGCATTTAAATCTAATACATTTTAAGTTTAGACGATGACAAAGACATCAACCAATACATTTTTAATAGCTTCTACATTGTTTAACCTCATAAATCGGTTATTGAATTGTAATTTTTGTCCACCAAGGAGGGTGTTCGTGAGTCATGACTCATGAGAAGTTTTCTTAATATTACAATAGTAGTATACTAGTATGTATGAGATTGTTATTTTTAGAATAATGTGCACCACATACACACACACATATATATGGCGCATATTATATTTTAATATTTTTATTAATTCTATAATAATTTAAAGTTTATTATCCATGCAATAAATTATTTTTAGAAACCAAGAAGTAAATGAATTATGTAATCTAATGTCTATAAATATTTATATTTTGGATTCATTTCACGTGATCTAAAAATTGTGTAATTAGTGTGTCTGGTATTTAATATTGTTTGATATATGTTTTACAAAATCCAGTACTTGTTATCTAATAAAGATAATTAAACATTACAAAACTAGGAATTCTTATATAATAAGTATCCTAAATCTTAAATAACGAGTTACTCTATTGTTTATTTGTTTAAGTTATGTAAATTATTTTAGATGTTTATTCTTTCAAATCTCCAATTAAGTATTACATTATGTAAGACTATATACTAACTTTGAAAATTAAAAGCTAAGGGGGGCGAATCTAATTAAATTATGAAAGTTTTATGAAAATATTACATACGGAGTATATGGTAAAAAAAAATTGAATGTCCAAGGGGGGTGGTCGCCCCCCGCGCCCCCCCTAAATCCATCCCTGGTAAAGTGTCATTTACAAATATTTGATACTTATTGTCAATGAAGGACGGGTCAGTTCTTATTTGATACTTAATTATCAAATTAAAATCGAAAAAGTAGGCATATCGTGTTCTTAATTTCACTTTAGGATTTCAATTTGTAAAAAAATTGTCAATTCATCCCTGATCCCTCATTCCGCACTTTATAAATATAGGGTAATTTATTTCAAATTAAACATGTAATTCTCGGTGGATTTGGCACGTAACTCTTTAAAAAATTAAAATCAGTGTGGATTAAAATATTAAACTGTTAATTTTTTTTAACAATACTGACTTAACTTTTCATTACCAAAGAGATCAACCGGGCCGAACCAAAACAGGTTACAAAGTGACAACAAGTCTCCTGTCTACCGTCCGCCCAAGGACCAGACTCTGAATTAATCACCTCTGTAGAAGCCATATAATTCGCTGATCCCGCTTTGGGCTTACCTGAGCCAATGACTTCCACACATGACTTCTCATCTCCTGTTTTAGATTCACTAGTTTTTTTGCTGGAAAAACACAGCAAAATCAAAACAAAAACAACATCCAGTACGTGGGGAATAAATAAAGCAGAATAAATAGAGTAAATAAAGTTCTCGGCTAAAAGAGTCGTAATCAGCATCAGATCATCTGGCAGGGCTGGATGCCAGCGCTCGCCCCTACCCCGTTTTTTGGGGAATCCAACGCCATAGTATCCTTTGCAGAATCCTCTCTAGCCTGTTTCTCCCAAGTTCTTCTTCTCTTCAACTCGGGATATTTATTTGGAAGATCACTTAACTTTTAGTGAGTTTCAATTTGGTCACTTAATTTTAATTTGATTCATTTCAATCATCTAATTTTATTTTCAGTTACAAACCAATTATTTCCGGCCTATTTAGTTGCCGGAAAAGTGGATAACTGTTGTTAAATAGTCCAAATAATTTTAATTGGATACAGAGGAAGAAGTCCTTAGAGTTGACTCTCAATCCTCTTCAATAACTGTTGTTAATTATAGTCCAAATAAAAAGAGATCATTCACTTTGTTCCTTCAGATCAATAACTGAATAACTGTAATTCAACCATCAAATTGCAAATGATAATGATAGTTCCACTGATAAGCCTCCTTACACTCCCCTGTTTAAACAAATCCAGCCCGCCAGCGATTGATTACAGGCCATCCTTGAAGAACATCACCTGTAATCTTATTTCCTCCCTCTATGTACTATCTTCTGTCATTCTCATCTTCACTCAATCACCCTTACCAAAATCTCAACTAGTAAGCAATGGAACTTTACCAGAACCTTCATCATTGGACCTCATCGATCGCAAGGGCTGCGGTCTCATCATCCGTGGAGGCTATTTTCATTGATCCGACTGATTACAGGCCATCCTTGAATTTTGGCTTTTTTACTTGAGGTCGGATACTTTAAGTATAACTGAGTGAGATGGCTAAACTAACGATGCGGGAGCTATTAATTCTTACTATCAAAGAGAAAACATACATTTATAAACACGTCATTGTTCCGGCAACTTAATAGGCCTGATATATTAATTTGCAACTAAAGTTATAATTAAGTGATCAAAATGATACAAATTAAAGTAATGTGACCAAATTGAAACTTAGTTGAAAGTAAAGTGATCATCCAAGTTAATTTCCCCTTCAACTCTCCTGGCGCTCCTTCCTCTTGTATCCCACCTGAGGTCATAACATTCCCTATACCAGATTTGGTGCTCCCTTCTGTCTCATTCGGGTCCCCCTCCTGCACTGACCTCGCAATATTTGATATGTATGTGCCCCTTCCAGAAGAGCTCCCTTCCAAAACCAGTCATTTATTGCCCATGTTTGACTTTACTTTTTTTCCACTTGCTTTAAGCCATGGTCCAAAAGGTCTGGTTATAGCTTGCCCCTCATCTTCGTACAAAAGAGGACAAAACTTCTCTGCATGTCCAATCACACCGCAACAAAAGCAGAAACTTGATAGCTTTTCATACCTAAAGTCTACCCAATACCCTTCTCCCTTGCTCTTTCTTAACGTGGTCCCAATCTTTAAGGATTTGCCAGGACTCTCACACACATATAAGTCTCCTTTTTTCATTAAATTTTTGCTCATCCCAAGTGATAAATTCCCCCAAGTGGTTCCCAATCCTCCTAGCTGTTCCCACATTTTCAAAATTGTACGGTACATTATGAACCTGTACCCATATCTCAAACTCATCTAGCAACATTTTACTCATAATATCACCCGATTGAACAACTTTTAACACAATCAAATTCTGATCAAACAACCAGGGACCATTATCCAAGACACGATTCATATCAACTAAATTGAAAACTTTAAACAGATACCTCCGTTCGCCGATCTCTTTTATAGAGATACCTTTGCCCGGATGCCATTATTATCCCTGAAGAACGGAAATCGAATGACCTTGTCCGTGAGAACTATCCCAACCACTGGAAATTCTTTTGCTTTCACTGCCTCGGGCTCCGTTTCTCCTTCCTCTTCATCTTCAATCAGCCATTCTTCCTGAAAACCCCCAATACCCAGGCCTCCATACATATCAACAAGTTTCGCTACCTGTTCGGCGTCATGTTCTCGATGCACTCTGCGTCCGTCATCCCTCGCGTCCTCCATCTCCCTGCCGCACCAGCCGTCCGAGGCTCACCCCTCGGTTCTTCTGATTGGCTAAAAACCTGCGCCGCACAATGACAACGAAGTTAGAACCTAGAAAACAAAGTTACATATATTAAATTGCTAATTATGAAACCTAAAATTCAGGAATGGAATGAAGATGACAAATTCTTTGTCCAAAGACTTAATAGTATACGAAATGTCATTTGTTTATTATCAATTATCTCTTTGTAAATCTTTGAAAGGTAGCAATTTTTTTGTTAGAATATCTAAATGTAGAAGAAATTTGTACTAAAAGTTTAGTTTAATAGTAGATATTAAAGTAGGCCATTATGCACTACTATTCCTATTCAATGAGTTTATCTCTTACCAATGTCTTTGTTGGAGGTATTGGTCCTGCCAAGGTCTCCCTTCCACTTATTCGTCTTAAAGTAGGGTATTTCTTTGCATAAATCTGTTCGCTCCCCACCCCAACCGGATGGGGTTGCTGAGAGGATGGTTAGGACTTTATTAGAGAGGGTGAGGGCTATGTTAGCTTCATCTGGGCTCTCTAATAAGTTTTGGGGGGGAAGCTATTTGTTATGTTGTTGATTTGATTAATCTGTCCCCGTCTGTTCCCTTAGGAGGGAAATGCCCTAAATCTGTGTTCATGGGCAAACCACTTGACTTGCCAGATTTGAGAGTGTTTGGTTGTGCTGTTTATGTGAATCGTGTGAATGATAAATCTGAACCTAGGACTAAGGAATATGTTTTCTTAGGATATCATGATTGCATGAAAGGTTATAGGCTTTGGTGTAGGAGTGAAACTTGCTTCAATGTGTTGATGAGTAGAAATGTCATTTTTGTCGAAATTGAATTTCCTTGCTTGCTTGTTTCTCCTGATGTTGCTCCAAATGACGTGGAGCATTTGCCTGATGTTCATTCTGATTTACTTGTTGAAACCAAACCCAAATTTGTGGATGAAAATGATTTTCATGGTGAAAATAAAGAAAATAATATTTCTATTAAGGTGGAGCATGATATGAATGTTGTGTGCAATATGCTTGAGTTGCGTGATTGCCCTGTTATTAGAGATAAAGACATTAGGGAGCATGAGAGAAATAATATGTGCAATGTGTTTGACTATATTTCCTCTGAGTCTGCTTTAAATGTGCTTAATTCTCTTTTAATTAAAATCTTTGTGATATTTGGTATGCTATTTTCTGTGTGTTTTGAAAATGTGATACCAAGTGATTATGTGAGCTCTGCCTGTGCTAGTTATAGAAATAATATTGTTTCTTTTATTTTCTGTGTACTTGCTTTGTGTGGTTGTTGGATTGGTTGGAATCCTCAACTTCTCCCGGATACTTGCTTGCGTGGTCTATTAACATGTGTTGTGCTTGTTAATAGTTTTGTGATGGTTTTGGTTCTGAACTCGAGGACCGATTGGTAGAGTTCAGTCCATCGTGAAGTGGGTTTGCACGGTAAGCTTGGTCTGAAAGGGAACTTTGGTTCTCATCTATTACTTGTATGATCGCAATGATGTACTTGTAATGGTTCAGCGATGATGAGTCTCCTCACAACCGTGTACTTGTTACTCTACACCACCTAGGACCAATAAGGTGGAGAATGTTGGAGGTATTGATCCTGCCAAGGCTTCCCTTCCACTTATTCGTGTTAAGGCCTGCACCCTAAGTTTAGCTGTACTCCTATTATTTCCTCTTGAGTTTGTTCACTACCTAATCACATGGCCCTGTTATTGTTCTGCCCGTTGCTATTCTATCTACTGCCTTTGTTGGGCTCCCCTTGGTTTGTCTTACTCTTATAGTTGATTAGTAAGGCATCTTTTCCTTTGCTATAAGAGTTGACTCTTACCCTTTATACAAGTGTGGCGTAGACAGCTTCCCCTTCCTCTTTGTGAGTGATAGAGCTGAGTGAGTGTGAGGTGTGATAGTGTGAGTGAGGCAGTTTGCTAGAGTCTTCTTCCTCCTTGAGAGTTCCTCTTTGTGAGTGAGAGCTAGAGAGGTAAGAATAGAGTGGGCTAAACTTGGTGAGTGGTGGAGTGGCTAAACAATCCTGGAGTGGTGTGTGTGAGTTGTTTTGGTTGGAGACTTGAGCTGAAATACACACCCAACAGTCTTCTTATATTTCAGAAACTGTCATACTCCGGCAAAACTTTATTAATTACATATATAGCAATTATATCCTGATGTCATTAAAAGTGTTGTTTAAGAGCTAGATAAATATTATTTATTAAGGGTAATTCTTTTAATCATGGGTGTAATTTTAATAAATTACATATATAGCAATTATTATATCCTAATTTAATAAATACTTTTGATCATGAAAATTGAGATCATTTTTCATTTCTGAATATGAGAGGTGTAATTTAAAAATAGACATAAATATTTTTATGTTAGTTAGATAAATCTCTTAAGTTTTACGATTCATGATATGAACGATTTATAAGAACTAATTCCATTGAAACATCAATCCACGAACCATAAACAAATTATTTTTATAATAGTTGTCCAGATTTCTTCGATAATGCATTAAAGAACATGGGGGTGCCCTAAAAGTGAATTTGAAACAAAATCTTGTTAAGGGCGTGTAGTTGTGGGTTTTATACCAATGTTATAATCGACTAAACAAGTGATTTTTCATTAATAAAACTAAAAGCAAAATCATTTTATAACGTGCAAGGCAGGTGTAAAGCTTTTTTGTTAAATTCGAGGTCCCAAAGATGTAGCTTCTAATTTTTTCTCACTTGCTCGTGTCCTTTTGGCTTTTGGGTTTTTAAGAAAGTCTTAATAATAGGGTTGTTTTGTTGACTCAATTGAATTGTTTTTTAACTAAATGTTTTAGAACTTAAAATGTCTCTTTTAACACTTTATGTCAATAAATAAAATCTCTCCTGATTGCAACATGCAATTACGCTATAAAATAATGAGATCTTAATTTTAAAGCTCGGAACTGTTTCAAAAGAGTTTTTGGGATATTTTTACTTGAACTGTAATTTGCTGGGTTGGTCTGGTTCGATTTGTTTAAGTCTGGTCTGGTCTATTCTGGTTTGGTAAGCGTCTGGTCTCTGCGTATTTTATAACTACGGAAGTTAAGTCTGGTCTGGCATGGTATATTTAAGTCTGGTCTAGTCTGGTCAGGTCAGATCTGGTCTGGTCTGTTTACGTTTGATCTGGTCTGGTTTGTTAAGTCTGATCTGGTTCAGTCTGAGACTGAAAAAGAGTCAAAGTAAAATCATACTTGAGATGTTTTTTTGGACTGTTTTCAGTAACGGATCAGACCAACCTGACCAGATCAGAAAACATCGTTAGCCTAAACCTTCCACTTCCTATGTTCAAAATTGTTTTTATTTATATATGTAATATTGATGTCATATGAAAGATAATGAAAAATCATGAATTTTGATATTCTTCTTATAAAAATTGAATCATAAATGAAAAAGTTATATAATTCAAAAAATAGTGAGATTTTTATAAGACCACTCCGTAGAATTCCATTAGCCTACTACTAAACTAACTACAATTCTTAAACTAACTACAATTCTAATTAACGGTAATTCAAATCTAACTTTTTTGTTTGACAACAATTCTAATCAACCTATAAATCCTAACGTGACGAAGCATAATAAATTAGTCAATTAATATACAAAATTGGAAAGTGAATCTAAAATATTATAAAAAAGGTTTATATAGATGATGACACGTGGCAAAAGTTTCTATAATTGTATCTTTGAAATGTATTATTTATATAGATTATTGGAGGCAATGTAAAATTTTGATTGGAGCATAACTTTTTTTTACTGCCAAGTACCTTGTGGTCTGATGACATCACTGTGACAATCCCAAGGAGGAGGTCACAGGTTCAAATCTCATCCCAGTTCAAGGATGTTGGCATTAACAATGAGCAGATACTATATAGGTTAGAAAGATTACCTCAAAAAAAAAAATAGGTTAGAAAGAATTGTCCAAAAAAAAACTTTTTTTTACTCAGATTTTTTTATTCTATACATATTTTCAAAACATTTATTTATTGAGGGCACGTACCCCTACTACTAAGGATAGTTTTGTTTTGGACTATTTTCAGTTCCAGATCAGACCAGACCAGATCAGACTTAAAAAGATAAGATCTGACCTGATCAGACTTCCATAGTTATAAAATACATTGAGACCAGACGTTTATTAGATCAGACCAGACCAATTGAGACCAGATAAGACCAGATTTAAACAGATTAGACCAGACCAGCAAATTTCACTCCAAAAGAAAACATCCTAACACATTGCATCCGTCTCTAACCGCTACAAAACATTAGCCCACCCATCAACTTGACAAATTCAATGCTTATATGATTTACATGAGATCCTCAACAGACATTGATTGGTGTATATGTTTAGAGACCGTTTGAAAATATTGTTTTTCGGCTTATCAGGTTTGTCAACCATTTTTTCATCAAACACATAACTTTTGTTTTCTCTCGCAGAATTGTGTAAAAAGCTGAAAAAATAAGATTGAAGTTACTTTTCTAGCTGCATTGACTGAAGTTACTGTAGATGACCGTTTTAGCTATTTTTACATATATTGTTTTCTTTATTTTATTAATAAAATATATTTAAAAAATAATATATTTTTAAATCAGCAGAATCAGCCACTATAACCAGAACTTCATAATTTCAGCAGAATCAGTCATCGCAGCCGATTTTCATGCGTGCTAGGGCTCTTAAATTCCAGCCCACCCCAAATTTAATTACCAGCCAATCCCACAGCCCAGCAGACTTAAGTGACCTTACCTGCGCTTCGATCTCCTTTACGCCAATTGGTTGAAGTGCGAAGAACGATTGAATTGGAGGTTGAGCATGAGACTAAGATCTGCGACCCTGCGACAAAGGCATGAACACCAGGCCGCCAGCCGCGCCGCCGGCGTCGTCCGCCCACTCCGCCGTTCTTCTCTGGACTGCGGCTCTACGCCTCTGCGTCCTGCGTCCAGGCTCCGCCTCCAGCCTCCAGGTAAACTCTAATTCTATTTCTTTATTTATAGATTTTAATAAACCCTACCAACCTGCAGCTTCCATGCACTCAGAAACCATGGATGATGCATTCGGAAAAGACCCACTTCAAATGCTTCCTCGAGAGGTGAGCCGCCATATATTTTCATTGTTGCCGGTGAAGTGCCTGTTCAGATGCATGTCCGTCAAGAAAGAATGGCAGGCCTTCGTTAACGAAATCAAGAACGCCCGTGCCGGAAAACAGCAACTTCTCGTCATCTCATCCCGTCAAGATAACAGCGACAAAGAGAGATTTATAGTGAGGTCAATCAACCCCGATCTCAGCCTTCAATGGGTATCCTCGTCTCTATTCGTCCTCGACGGTCAGGACTTCAGATTCTTTGATGGATTCCGACCAAGAATTTTGGGCTCCTGTAATGGCCTTGTTCTTGTTGCGGCCGGGAAGAAGATACTGCTGTGGAACCCACTTACGAGGTGGTTTCGAGTTGTGTTTGATCTTAAAAAGACTAAAGATTGCCTTGTTAGAGACTGTTTTTATGTTCCTGGTTCAATTTGTTACGATGCCTCCATTAAAGACTACAAAGTTGTCCTTCTACTCGACCTTATAACTCCGTGTCGTCGTGGTCATCTAAACCGCTATGTGAGTTTTGCGTGCTTGAAAAGCAATGTGCTGAAAGATTTGGGGCACCCTCGGGAAATGGACTCGGCGACAACTTTCGCAATACATTTCATTGGTCGGTATGTCACGACGTCAAGCATTCGGTTAGGAATATCGCTGGACATCGCAATAATCGATGTTGCAATATTAGATATCGCAATAATAAGATTGCTTATTTTGATCCCTTGAATGAGACGTTCAAAATATTGCCCTCTCCCAAGCCGTGTCATTGCGAAGAAGACGATTGGATAGTTGGTATGGGAATTGTAAATGATTGCTTTTGCATGGCTCGTTTGGATAGCAAGACAGAGACGATTCAGGTTTTGGGTATGAAGGAATATGGAAATGGAGAGTCTTGGTTCAGAGCATTCGAGGTCTCTTTGTCCAAATTTGGTTGTGATGGTGATGGTTTGTATGCCTTCACTTTTTTCTCTCTAGAAAAGAATGAGAAAGTTTTCATGAAATACAACGGCACGAGAACCCTTGTCTATGATCCGGCCAAAGAAGAAGTTTTCACAGTTGACAATCTCTTTCCTGATTCAGAGACTAATCATGGTATGTGCTTTTATGCACAAAGTTTTGCATCCCCATATGACCAATTAAGTTAAAGATAGATGAGATAAATACATTATAGTCGGCATATCTGATAGTCAATAGATGCACCCTACATGCTTCTTTTGTTAATCTTGTGGTTATCCGCTCATCTGAATAGATGCGGCTCGGAATATAGTTCAGTAGCAAAATAAAGAGAATATCTTTTCTGATTGTGCTGATTAGTTTGAGCTTCATTCTGAAATAAGATCTTTTTGTTTCATTCTGCCAAATTGGGTGATTCGAATGTCCATTATTAGCATGGAATCATGGATCATACCCACTTCCATAAATTTAACCCACCTGCAAGCTTTGCTTTTCCGTAAATTTATTTATTTAATTAACATTCAATCCTGAATTTAGCATATGTATATTGACTAATTATATTGTCTTGTCAATCCAGGTGGTCTTTTTTATTTTACATACGTGTTACTTCAAATATGAGATAGTAAAATGAGACACGCCTTAACACAATGACACATTTCGTTAAGAGCATTTATCATTTCTATCAAAAGGGTCCATGCTTGCTTAGAAATTTACACATTTCTTAATTATTACTCGTATAAATATAAGAGGAAAGGACGAATTTACGGGAATTCCATGCATCCATTCCCAAAATACGAATGTCGGAGCTAGGGTATGAATTTACGGGAAACGGGGTTGGGGAATCCGACTTTTGTAGGGTTTTTTGTGGGATTTACCAGTCTCGATAGAGATGTCGGATCAGAACCAAAAGTCGGATGGGCCAGGTGTTTTTTCGGATTTGTGTAATCCGATATATATGGATGGCTGTGCATGTGTCAGAGGCATGCATGGCAGCTTCGTATTTTGTGTTTTCGGATTTGTGTAATCCGATTATTTGGCCACCAGCTCCATCCATCGGCTCCACGAAACAGCTCTCTGATTGGTCAAAGGAATAACACGCGGATTGTGCTTTCCTCTTCTTATTTTCAACCCTTAGATCATATTAAAAAAATCTCAACCCTCCATTTATTTTGTGGGATGGTTCACTATCCAACCACAATTCTTACCTCTTTAAATACCTCCAACATCATATTCAACACTACAAAAAACAAATTCAATTAGATAAAATTATTGAGTGTTGTTGCCGATTTTAATTCGTTGTGTCCTTCAAAGAGGTTAGAAATTTAATTATATTTTTATTCTTTTTGAGGCCGTTTGGTAACACTAAAATTGGTTGTATTGGCTGATTCTGCTGAAATTTATGAAGTTCTGGCTGATGTGGCTGTATTGGCTGATTCTGCTGATTCATGAAAAAGTTGTATTAAAAATATTTTTTATTAATTAATAAAATAAAAAGTTATATGGAAAAATAGCTAAAATGATCCTCTACAGTAACTTCAGCCAATACAGCCAGAAAAGTAACTTCAACCTTAGTTTTTCTACTTATTACACAATTCAGCACGTCAAATAAAAATTACGTGTTTGGTGAAAAAGCTGGCTGATAAGCCTGATAAGCCGAAAAATGGGGTCACCAAACGGAGTATTTGTGATTACACGTGTACTGATTTTTTTATTTCAATCTCAGTATTTAGAAAATTTTTAATATTAATATGCAGATCTTAATTGCTATTAAGATAGTTGATATAGTCATACTAAATAAATATTAATAAAAATAATTGGTTCACTAATATTTGTTATAATGTATTAAATAATAAATCAGTGTATATAGTAATTTGAGACTACGTTGCTTTTACAAATTTAAATTTAGTTTAGTTAGTTGAACATTTGAATTTAGTCATCACAATTTATTCCCAAATAACACTATAATATAATTTAGTTCATAATATTTATTATAATTGAGCCATAAAAGTCTAGAACTAGTCCTTTTATAGTTTCTGGCAAATGTTATGACTAGAACTAGTCCTTTTCTAGTTTCTGCCATAATGAAAATATTAATCAGTGGCAAGTCTAAAATTGCAATCAGTACATATATTATAATTGCACTATATTGGTACAATTTTCACAAGCTCGTCTAGAACTAGTCCTTTTCTAGTTTCTGGCAAATGTTACGTCTAGAACTAGTCCTTTTCTAGTTTCTGGCAAATGTTACGTCTAGAACTAGTCCTTTTCTAGTTTCTGGCACACTGAAAATATTACTCAATGGCAAGTCTAAAATTTGTATCGGTTCATATATATTATAATAGGACTATCTTGCTACAATTTTCACAACCTCGTCTAGAACTAGTCCTTTTCTAGTTTCTGGCAAATGTTATGTCTAGAACTAATCCTTTTCTAGTTTCTGGCACAGTGAAAATATTACTCAATGACAAGTCTAAAATTTGTATCGGTTCATATATATTATAATAGGACTATCTTGCTACAATTTTCACAACCTCGTCTAAAACTAGTCCTTTTCTAGTTTCTGGCATGGTGGTAATACTGTTCAGTGGATAAGCCCAATATCAATCGTACATATATTATAATGTAATACGTAACACTGATATAGTTTCATTGAAAATTTATATATGTAATTTATAATTTCATTTAATAAAATATACACACACACATATATAACACATATGGAGGAGGTGATACTCACAATTGTGAAACTTTTCACAATATCCACTCCCACGGTGACGGACCATCAACGAGATACGGCGGACGCTATAACCCGCATTGTGTTGAACAGGAAGATGGCCCTTCAACAACATATGAAGAGGAAGAAGATTCTGATTATGAACAATTTTCTGGAGATGATGATGCAACAACAAATTCTGACGATAATGATGTCGTTCATGACACAACATGGGCCGGTATCGAACTGGAACAACCATATGTTGAACCAGCAAATCGTGAAAGTGATAGAATTGTGGTCGGCAAAATATATGATTCATACGACTTACTGAAAGAAGGCGTAGCCAAAGAAAGTATTCGACCAAACCGAATTTTTAGGACACTTGACAAACGTGTCAGATCGTGGAAGGCAGTTTGCATCTATGATGAAACGTGTACATGGCACATTCAGGCGGGAAATATTCTCAACACCAATTTTTGGAAGGTGAAAAAATATCAGCCACTACACGACTGCATAATTCGGATTACAGCATTAAACTCGTGATCCAAGACATATACGACAAATTCGGAATCAATGTCAAGTACAAAAAGGCGTGGTATGGACGTTTGATCTCCCTTGAGCGAAGATTCGGCAACTGGGAGGCGGCCTACAATGATTTACCCAATTTGTTGCATGCGATAAGAGCATCAAATCCAGGATCAGTGGTAGATTTCCAACCAAAACCAACCGATCACGCTGGTACGTATGAATTTCACCGTGCATTTTGGGCTTTCAAAGCTTCCATTGATGGGTTTGAACATTGTCTGCCTGTACTATCAGTAGACGGTACTCACTTGTACGGAAAGTTCAAGGGCCATCTCCTGGTTGCAGTCTCCATGAATGCTAACCGTGAGATTTTCCCTCTCGCCTACGCAGTCGTGGAAAGTGAAAACACAGATAGTTGGTCCCGGTTTTTGGAACACGTTATGACTTATGTTGTTAGACCAAATCGACATGTGTGCCTAATATCAGACCGACATCCCGGCATCCTAAGTGCCTATCGATCAGTACCTCAATTGAAAACCTCCTAAGTTTCAAAGCGGTTCTGCCTCCGACACATTAGGA